ATCTATCTATCTATCTATCTATCTATCTATCTATCTATCTATCTATCGTCCATCTATATCTATCTATCTATCTGTCTGTCTGTCTGTCTGTCTGTCTGTCTCAGAGGGGACTGCATTCCAGAAGGCAGGTGCTGGAATGAGGTCCCCCCTGAGATTCAGGTGGCTCCCACCCTATTGGCATTTTGGAGGGCCTTGAAGACCTGGTTCTTTGCCCAAGGTTTTGACTAGGGTGGTCAAAGCCCCTTCTGAATAGCGTGTGTATGTTTGTACTGTTGCCCAATGTTGCCATATTTTTGCCCCATTGTCTTTACTGTGATCTTGTTTTATTGTTATTTTTCTGTGTTTTTACTTTTGAAATGCCCAGAGTCTCTGAAAGTTGGCCAGTGCACAAATTTAATAATATAATAATAATTGATGATGTGCCATCAAGTCATTGTTGACTCTTAGCAACCACATAGAGAGATTTTCTCCATGAAATCCTCCTCCTCATCTGCTTGAAAACTATGAAGTTGGCACAATACCACTGATTTTGTAACCATGTGCTTTTCCCAACATCCCCAATCATGACTGTAGGCTTATGGGTGAAGAGAAAGAGTGTGGCAATCCGTTCTAAACCAAAGGCATACTTTTTAGAAGTTAGGACTCCACGATAAAGAGAAAAGGAAAGGAATTTGAAAAACCCAGGCCTCTCTTGTTTTGCTCCAGGTCTCAGAGTCCTCGTCTGAAGGGAAACTCCTGTCAATTTCACCAGTGCTGGGTCAAACCACCTTTTCCCTTTAAAGGGCGTGCTAGAGCAGTGTTTCTCAAGCTTGGCAACTTAAAGAGGTGTGGACTTCAACTCCCAGAATTCCCCAGCCAGGATGTGAGGAGCCAAAAGTCAGGAACCAAAAAAAAAGTAGAGGGGATGGGGAAACAGACTGATCACACACACAGAGCAGGCTATGTAGATCTCTCTCTCTCTCTCTTTTTCCCACATTCTGCAGCTGCTTTTGAACTCAAAACTCCTTGGAGCTCCTTATGCAGCAGTGCCCCAAATTTCCCATTGTTTCCACGCCTCTCTTTCCTCTGTTGTTTTCATCTGTGCCAGATTTTAGATTGTAAACACTTCAGGTCAGGGAATCTGTGTATTCTTGAACACTGGAAAGCACCTTCATTTTATAGCCCACTACAGTCTCATGACTCTTGGTGGTGTACGAGACGTGGGAAAAAGAAAAAAGAAAAAGGAAAAGAAAGGAAAGGAAAGGAAAAGAAAGCATCAGGGTTGGATTAAATCCCAAACTTAAAAATAAATATGAAAAATAATTTAATCAATAA